TAGGTGTGCAAGAGGGAAAAGGGGGGGAGGGGTACTCATGTTTTGCATTCCTTGGCTGACCAAAGGGGGAGTGGGGAGGGGGAGTCAATGTGTGCGTGAATTCACTCCTGTTGTCTGTGCATGTGCGTGTTATGGTACAAATAAATCTAGGCAGACTTACAGGGTGTGTTTGGTTTGATGTGTTGCAACGTGTGTGTTGGGGTAACGTTTTTTGTTTGGGTTGTGGGGACGCAATATGTAAGAGCAGTTGTTGTCGAGATTGTTGAACGGAAATCGGGATGATGGGGGATCTCTGTCTTGTCTCTCACCTCTTCATTTTCTCATGCCCCATCGTGGTGTACTCGAAAAGGTGCGGTGCAGTCCATGATGCTGAAGCTCTTCCTCGGCCACCATTTTGAGCAAACAATCGAAACCGAGCTTCGCCCCCCCCCCCTCCTCTCTCCCCCCCCCGTTGATTGCACTCAGAACGAGTGGGACGACCTGATGCTTGAGACGCACACCCTTAAGCAGCACCTCAATCAGACGAGGCAGGAGCTCAGCCAATCGTTGTACCAGGTGAGGAAAAATGAAGAACTCGAGGGAGCGAGGGCGTGACGGAGACAGGGACTAAAAGGGGAAAGGATAACAGAGGGAGAGGGAGTTGTAAAGGCCCACGAGGGATGAAGTTGTCGTCTTTGTGGAATCGAAATAGAGAACGAGCGCTAGTGAGAGAGAGAGAGAAATGTCTGGTTTTGGTACGTAGCACCCCCAAGGCCTGCTTTTTCACGCAGGGAGGGCAGGATGGACGAATCCCCCCCGCCCCGCTGCACTGCAGTGCGGCACGGTGGTAGAAGACAGGTTCACTAGCGACTTTTAAAAGGTACTTCAGGTTGACGCCACTCCCGTTTTCCGCGATCTTTTCCCCAAGTTGACAATGTTCGGTGAACCTCGCCGCACTTGTTTGTTGTTCCGACGCCCGCGTGGACAACGTCCGACAATACCCTCACGCACACATTTCTTGGAAGAACGACGCGGCGTGTCGGGTGATCGCACGTCTGCATCGCGAAAGGGACGAAGCGCTGGCGCAGGTGCAGGCACAGAGGACCGTTCTGGCGCAGGCGCAGGCGGCAGCCCCGGCAGCGGCGGCGGCGGTGGAAGGTAGGGTCGAGGGGGGGGGGGGAGAGAAGAGGGCCCGTTGTGTGTGGACCGTTGTTGTTGATGTTGTGAGGTGTTGTTGGCGTTGGTGGTGCTGTTGTTTGCGGCGGCCGCGGCGGCCGCGGGGTTGCGATTTTCAAGATTGGGCGGGATGTCGGTGTGCATCGGTAACTGAAATTTCCATTGTCTTGGTGTTGGAGTTGTTGTTGCTACCGCTTTGGCGGCCGGCCTGCCCGGTAGCCGCGCTGCTAAATACCGTGCGCTGCTGCCGTTGTGATCTCACTGTAGTTGGTGGTGGTGGTACGGTGTGGCGTGACAGCAGGTGTGGTCGCTCACGTCCTTGAGTGATGGGGGCAGTATCACCGTCGGTCACACGAGGCAGGCAACCATTGCATTCTTTGTAGCACTCCTCCCGCATTCTTGCCCCCCCCGGGCACTAGGGGCATGCCCTCGCCCTCTGCCCTGCTTATTGTAGTGTTGGTGGCGCACCCTTGTTTTGCGACCCGGCAACCTTTGCCTCGCGAGCTTGTACATGTACTCTACCGCCCGTAGCCGAGCAGGAACACAGCTGCCGCGCAAGCGTGGCTAGCTTCGTGATGAAAGTGATGACACAGTTTATTTTTTAAGGACTCTTGCGTTCTGATATATATTTCGTGACGATGCATTTTCCTCTTTAGGGTGTGTTCTATTGACACATAAGTCTCTTCTCTCCCCCTTACCCCCCCCCACCCCCACCCCCACCCCCCGCCACTCTCTATAACCTCGAACGGCCGCACCAACCAACGGCTTGCTGCCTCCCTCCCTCCCTCCCTCCCTTCCTTCCCTCCTTCCATGCCTTGCAGAGATGCAGACGGAGGATGACGGGGAGGAGGGAATCTCGCCCGCCGCGCACGCGCAGATGCAGGCGAAGTGGAAGGAGCTCTCCAAGAAGAGGTGAGCGCGGTCGACGCTCAAGGGCGCGCGCAAAGCGCTGCGCGGCCGCCGCCGCTGCCGCTTTCCAAGTCGTACTTGGTTTCTTGCGGCCATGTCGTGCCCTGTGTGTGTTGGTGGAGCGTTTTTTGCTGTGCTTTGGCTTCGCGTGAATGCAACAAGTTTTTCTTCGTGTGTGATTGTTGATATGCATACAACCTCGTTTGGTTTGCTCGTTTGTGGCTGGTGCTGGTGCTGTTGTCGTTGCTGCCGCTGCTGCTGCTGTTGATGTTGGGTGTTTGTTTTCAGCCTAGTTACAGAAGCACAGACGCAGACACACTCCCTCCCCCCTCGCCTTGAAAACAAACAACACCAGGAAGAAGAGGGCCATGCCGGACGACCTGGCCTCTCAGGAGACCGTGTCGGCGTGGGGCGAGGTGTCGAGGAACACCCTCCACAAGACAAGCCCCAAGGGCATCACGTGCCTCGACCTCCACCCGTCCAAGCCGAACTTGGTGAGAGTTAATGGCACGCTCCGCTGCCACTCCTGCTGCTGCCGTTTGCTGCTGTACTGCGGTTAACTGCTGTAGCTGCCGTTTGGTGGTGTACTGTACATGTCTTTGAGCTCTCACTCCTTGCCAAAGGCTGTTGCAGCGTACATGTAGGAGTCCAACCACAGCAGCGGTGCAGTAGTGTTCGATGAACAACCTGGCGTCTTATTGTGTGAGTCGAGGGTCGCTCGGCGCTGTTTTTTTCTATCGAATCGAGTCTCCTCGTCAGCATTTAACAATTTTACCCGGCGGGCAAAAATCTTGGCGCCTCGACAGTAAAACGCATCCCCGCTCCAATGAAAAGCTTTGTGCTGTATTGCGACCGACCACGCATGTAAAACTCACACACGTACCTACCGCGCGAACAGGTGCTCACCGGCGGTGTGGACAAGACGGCCATCGTCTTCGACCGGGACACGCAGGCGCAGGTGGCGACGCTCTCTGGCCACACCAAGAGAATCACGGACGCGTGCTTCCACCCCACTCGGGAGCTGCTGCTCACGTCCTCGGCGGACAAGACCGCTCGCGTGTGGCAGGCCCAGGCGGAAGGGGACGGGGGCGGGTACAAGGCTGCCCACGTGCTGGACGACCACGACGGGGAGGTGGTGGGCGCCACGGTGCACGCCACGGGAGACTTCATGGCCACGGCGTCGAAGGACAAGAGCTGGGCGTTCTACGACATCAACAGGTGCGTGGTGGCGCGGGTGTGCGGTGTGCGTTGGTGGTGTGCTGGTGTGGCGATAAAAAAGTGTTCGTTGTAGTTGCTACGTGGAGCGGTGCGGCTCTGTTTGTTTGGCGCTGCTGCGGCCGCTGCGATTTCCTCCTCGACAGGCGTGTGCTTGTACATGTGGTGTGGACCACGTGTTCTGCGTGCACTCCCCTCACCGCCTGCTGCAGAAACGCACGAACTACACCCTTCCTTTTTCCCACGGAGTCTCTCCCTTCTAACCCTCACCATCCCATTCGCGTGCCTCTTTCTCGGCTGTGCGGCCGTCCACCCGTGTGCCTCGATCGTCTCACTCCGGATAATCACCCGCCTCGGCCTACCTTGCTCCAACGACGCGACTCTGTTGGCAACCTCCGCAATCCTCGACCAACCAAAACTGAACAAAATTAAATAAAAAAATGAAAAGGGGGAGGTTGTTGAAGCACGTCAAGAACGACGAGTACTCGGAAGGGTACAACTGCGTCCGCTTCCACCCGGACGGTCTCATCCTGGGTACCGGCACTGGCGACGCGCTCGTGCGCATCTGGGACATGAAGCAGGCGGTAAGATTTATTTCTGTACAATTGCGGCGTGTTTCGAGTGGTGCGGTCGGACGCGGTAGGTAATAGTTGTCCCGCATTTTTAACGCTGCCGATATTGCTGTAGGCCGGTCGTATGGCTTCCCGTCCGTCTTTGCTGTGGAGGTCTGACTTGTGCCACCAGTAGGCGACCGACCCTGCTGATCCTCCTTCACCCTCGGCGCTGCGCCCCCCACCCCCGTCCGTCCGCTCGAAAAGGCCAACGTGGCCAACTTCAAGGGCCACGAGGGAGGGGTGAACGCTCTGGCCTTCAGCGAGAACGGTTACTACATGGCCTCGGCGGGTGAGGACGGCTACGCGCGCCTGTGGGACCTCCGCAAGCTCACCAACTTCGACAACCTGACCATCGGCGACGGGGCGGCGCACTCGGTAGCGTTCGACTTCTCGGGGTCCTACCTCGCGGCGGGCGGGAAGAAGTGCACTAAGGTAAGGGGGGGGGGGGTCGGCGGGCAATTGACGTCAAGGTGGTTTACCGCATGTTGGTTAGGAAGGATGTGGGTGGCGTGCGCGGTTAGATAAACGTTTGCCGTGGAGTGGGTGTTCTTGGAATGTGCGCGTTTTTTTTTGTGTGTGGTCTGATGGAAATGGATGGATGCCGACGTGATACGTATTTTTCTCTCTCTCTTGATGCAGCTGTTTCTGTGTAAGGCATACGCCACACGACGCATGGTCATATCTGATGCTTGGTTGGTTTTCCTCGGCGTACACTTTGGCGAGCGATCCGCTCTGCTGCCATCTTGGCGCTCCGAAAGCCTCACACGCATCTACTTCCAGCTAGTAGACAAATCGCACACTCAAGTGTACCCCATGCCGTGTCCTAACATCTGGCGTTGTCGTCGTGCCATGGAACGTTCCAGGTGTTTGCGGTTAAGACCTGGGGAGAGCTGGCTACTTACGGCGGCTACGGCGGGTCAGTGACGGGCGTCAAGTTTGGCAAAAGCGCGAGCTTCTTGGTAAGACAATCCGGACGCCAACGTGTCGTCAATTTACCACGCATCATCCATCTGCTGCCCAGACAAAACGATTTTATCCACCGCCGTTGTGGTGATGCAAACAACACACAACACGCCTCGCTACAACGAGAGATGGGTAGCAGAGTGGG